CAGGTGTGTGACACGGTGACACAGTGCCACGGGGCATCTTCCCAGGTATATGACACGGTGACAGTGCCACGGGCATCTTCCCAGGTGTGATGGTGACACAGTGCCACGGGCATCTTCCCCAGTGCTTGTGAGCATTCACACATCTTCCTTGGAGAAGTGTCTGTCAACTCCATCTTTTAGTGAGGTAAGGTTTAGCTTTATTGTCAGTTCTAAGAATCTTTACGTATTCAGAATACGTAACTCCTGCCAGATACCCCCTAACTGATTTTCTCCATTATGAGAATCAGCTGTGTACTCTGATAGTTCCCTCTGATGCACAAGCTGAACTTACATACAGCCCAATGTTTCTGTCTTTTCCTTTTGTTGTGTTTTTGTTGTGTGTGTATACACACACACATACACAATATATATATTGTTTTTCGAGACAAGGTTTCTCTGTAGCTTTGGAGCCTGTCCTGGAACTAGCTCTTGTAGACCAGGCTGGCCTTGAACTCACAGAGATCCGTCTACCTCTGCCTCCCAAGTGCTGGGATTAAAGCATGCGCCCTTTTGTTGTTTTTGGTGTCACATTCAAAATGTTACTGCAAGGTCTTGTGTCACCATTGGACACACTTCCGGCTGACCCCTTTACAAAGCCATCAATGCATGTGTGCTTCCAGAAGTCTCTTTAGTTAGCTATTGTGGTCCAGACAATTTATCCTCCCGAGAGACTCAAGTGCTAGTACTATTTGGGAGGCCCTGGAAACTGTAGGAGGTGGGAAGTATCTGGAGGAAGAGGCCCACTGGGGAAGACCTTAGGGATGTCTCCATCCCTTGAGCGCCACAGGTAGACAGCCACTACCATACATTCTTGCCACAATGATCTACCTACCTGGCCACAGGCCCAGCACCACGAAGCTACGTGAAAGCAAAATACAGAACAACTCCCTTGTAGTTGTTTTCCTCACTTCTGTCACAGCAAAAGGAAAGCTAACGTATTAGCCAAAGCCTCCTCTGAAGTAAATTCTTAACCTGTTCCAGTGAATGGCCTTGTCGCTGCTTAGGAGCATGTTGTCACCGGAGCTGGACTTCTCTCCCCAGCATGCGGCAGGCAGCGGCTGTAAATGAGAAGGACACCAGCAGGCATGCCTTCCCCTCCATGCACCTCCTGAACAGCAAGGAGGGTTTTGGGTATGTGCTAACTGTGGCCCTACTGACCTCCATACCCAGGATCATCTAGGAGGTAATCTACCTTTCACTTAAGAGTGTACGTATGTGGTGCAATTTGGAAAAAGAGCAACTTACATGGGTGACAGCTTCCCAGGCAACTGCATGGCCTTCTGGGGTCCACAGTAAGAGGCTAAGAAGCAGGCGTCTGACCAGCTGTCTGCATATAGGTGGCCTGGGGTCTGCACTGGGGCTCTCAGCTGCTTTCTGCAGATCGGCAGCAGAGAGGGGGTCACTTCTGAGCAGCATCAGGAGACGGTTGAGCAATGCCTTCAGCTCCACCTGGGTAATAAAGTTCAGAGGATGCGGCATTGGTGACTCTAGGACTTGTCTGATGCTTCGAAGCCCCAGGGATAAGGACAGTCAAGCACCCAAGCTCAGCTAATTCACACACGTCTACATAAACCAAAATGGGCCAATGGAAGTTTCTTGACTTTCCTCTTGCCCACGAAGCAGTCAGGGCACTATGCCAGGACCTGACCTTTTTTTATATGAAGGCAAATGAAGGCAAGTCCTCAGCAGAATGTAGTTAGAATTTTCTTATTGTGAGGAAACAAAAGGCCCCTTGAAGAGGACCCCTCACTATCAGCCACAATCAGCTAGAGCCACAGGCCCACTGGGCGGTGCTGGTAAGAATGCAGGCTGCCCCTGCCTGGGCTGCTGAGGGAAGCGCAGGCCACACACACAGGCGCGTCTGTTCTGTTGCAGACACTGGAACAGTTGTTCGTACCAGCTCACAGCTCAAGCAGAGGTCACAAGTCTGTGGAATCCACATAATAACAGTGACTGTTCTAAGTCCGTGGGTTGTTTTTGCATAAAAAATATTTATTTCATGTTGAGACTCCTGTGGCTCACAGAGCAAGACAGAAGCCGGGAGCTGCAGAGATGCTGCACTGAACATGGCATCCACGGAAGGTTCCTCCGACCTGTTCTGAGAATTCCCACGGCATATTCTGCGGGTCTGAGAACCGCTTCTCCCTGCAAGTTTAGGCCCCATTCAGAGCCATCTGTCACGGGTAGCAGCACACTAGCAGTGCTGTGTGAGGTCTTCTGACGACAAGGCTGGCCGTGAGAAAGGAACCACAGCGCTCTTCCACTGAGGGAGCAGTGTTCCCTGGATGGCCACCACCTCAGCCAATGACATCTCTGGAGTCTGCAAACTCTGAGGACTCTGGGAGAGAAGCTTCTCTCTGCCTGTACTAGATGCTGTTCTGTCCACACTAACTGCACCTCACATGCCTTCTGTGTCTAGACGCTTCTATAAGGGAGGTGTGTGCTCTTTAAGTATTTTCTTATTTTCAGTCTACATTATAAAAATTTACTTTTGCTCACTATGGAAAACATGAAGATTAAGGAATGATGAATCAGTCCCCACTCATCCTCTGGAGGCATCCCCACGCTTCACGCATATCCACGTGTACCATGAGCCAGTCGCACGCCTGAGCACTACCTGGCAACGTGCTAGTCCACTTCAACACTAGCAGCTTGTGCAAGCCCAGAGCATTTCAGCTCCTGCAGCTGTGACTCCGCTCTGACGCCGCTGTGTGCAAGCGGCTGTGTGAGTCTCTGCCTTTCCAGGAAGATTCCTACAAGTGAGAGGGCTGTGTCTGGGGGTGTGAGGCCCTGACCAGGCCAAAGGGTACCTAGAATACAGTCTTCAGAAAGAATTCATGATTCAATTCAGTGAGCCCGAGCAGATGAACACAGCTGGCAGAGGTGCCCCAGGCAGGACAGGTGTTCTTTGGCCCCAGGGTGACCAGCAGAGGAATTGTCAGCTGGGTGACTGTGACTTATGGGTTTAAGTTACAGCAAACTCCAGAGGTTCTGGCTTCTAGTACTAGGCAGTGGCTGCCCCTGAGTGCCCAGCTAAGGAGGAAACACAGACAACACCAAGCTACTCTGAATGGAGTAGCTGCTTTTATACAGATGTCTAACCACCCCAAGAAAGACTGAGACTTACTTTTTTTTTTTTTTTTTTTTTTGAGACAGAGTTTCTCTGTAGTTTTGGAGCCTGTCCTGGAACTAGCTCTGTAGACCAGACCTCTAACTCACAGAGATCCGCCTACCTCTGCCTCCTGAGTACTGGGATTAAAGGCGTGCACCACCACTGCCAAGCCCCGAGGCATAGTTTTAAAGAAAAATACTCCTGAATCCAAGTTAGCTAGTAGAAAAAGGTGCCAATGCAGACCTTTCTAGAAACTAATTCCATTTTAAATAGAAAAAAAATTATGTGTGCATATGCACACACATGTGCAGTCTATGTATGCCTTACATGTATGGAGGTCAGAAACCACTTTGGGAGTTGGTTCTTGCCTTCTGTGATGTGCCCCAGGATCAGACTCCGGTTGCCAGGCTTGGCAGCTAAGGCTTTATTCACTGGGCCATCTTGCTGGCCCCTCCAAGTTAAATCTTACAGGTATAAGTTCCTACGCTCCATATGAATTAACATATACCTACCAATTTAGTTCACAAATAATCTAATAAGTGCTTCATTCATCTTCATCATTCCTACTAAAAGTAAGATGAAAGCCATAGACAGATGCCCAGTCCCGTGCATAGAAACTGTTATTTAGTTGACCAAATGGTTACATCATGTGATTCCTGTGATTCCCTCAGGAGGAGTCTGATGTCAGAAAGTGGTAAGTGAGATGGAAGGAGACAGGCCAGGCTGCTGAGGGGGGGTGGGAGGGAGACAGTGCTCAGGGGCCAGGCTGCTGGGGGTGCGGGGGGGGGGGGGGAGACAGTGCTCAGGGGCCAGGCTGCTGGGGGTGCGGGGAGGGGGGGAAGACAGTGCTCAGGGGCCAGGCTGCTGGGGGTGCAGGGAGGGGGGGGGGAAGACAGTGCTCAGGGGCCAGGCTGTCTTGGGACAGAGCAGCTGTCGTGCCTGCGTGGCATCTCTTAGAGCATGGACCCTGGGGTGAGGCATGAGGGCACATGAGGGCAGCTGAGGTCACTGAGCAGAAGAACCTGGGGACAGGAGGCCCGGAGTGTGAGAAGCCTGGTGGCTGGGGCAGCCTCGTCTCAGGTCCCTGTGGAGGCAGAACACCACGATCTGTGAGCTAAGTCACCCTGCACACATGACAAGTGCCCTGAGCCTGAGTGGGGCTCAGCAGAGGTGAACTCAGTACAAGTCCCCTCTTGTGTAGGTGTTTCCAGCACTCACCACGGTCTGCGCTCTCTGCTGACTCCCGTCCTGCGGGCTGTAATAGAACACCAAGAGCCACAGCAGGTCTGCAGGGGGCTCAGCTTCCTTCTGTAGCAGCTGCTCCACAGCCAGATCAACCCATCCTCCAAAGTGAGTCAACAAAAACCAGCTCTCGAAGGGATCTCGCTGGGACCTGGAACAGAGCAAGACACACACATGGCAGCTGGCAACCTCGATCCTTCTTCCTTTTGTTCAAAGTAACTTTAATGTTTGTGAACTGGTACTTTAAATTGTACTTTCCCACTGAAGACCCTCAGAGACAAACTGGATTCAGAACTCTCCTAAGCCCATCACAGAACAAACCAAGGGACCCTCCCATGCCCACATGCAATGATATTTATGTCTTTATATCCAGGTACCTATAGGATTCTTGGCTCTGAGTGAGATCTGGG